GCGTGTCCTGCAGCAATTGCAGGAGCTGTCCCGGGGCCGGCTGGACCTGGCCACACAGAGCCTGACAGTGGACAGCTGCAGGGCCCTGGGCAAGCTGTTGCAGAAGGGGTCACTGCTGACCGAGCTCATCCTGAGTGACTGCATGCTGAGCGAGGAAGGTGGGCACCGCAGGGCTGGCAGAGGCCAGGGCAGCCCTTCCAACTTCAGAGTTGAGGCTGGAGTCGAGCCCCGTGCTTCAGGGCAGCCTTTCTGGCTCTGCCTCGCTGCTTGCTTGCTGCACACGCCCGGTCCTTAGTGCTTGGCAGCCTCCAGCAAGGAATTCTCTGTCCTCCCACCCCAACCCTTCCCCGAGGTTTCTCCCCTTTACTGTAGTTACAGCAAGCAGCAGCAGCATCTGCCCGTGAAAACTGTGAGCAGAGGGCTGTTTCTCTGTAGGGTCCCTCCACTTAGAGTCCCAGCACGGGTCAGCAGGCTGACTCTGCTCTTGGCAGATTTTTTTTTCCTGAAGTTTCATTTTACTTATTTTGATGGAGGTACTGGGGATTGAACCCAGGACCTCGTGCATGCTAGGCACACATTCTGCCACTGAGCTGTACCTACCCCCTCCGCAATGTGCCACAGTGAGTAAGGTGACCCATTTTTGCATGAACCCTGACTAATGGGGGCCACCGGGACGTCCTTCCCTGACGTTGGGGGAGCTGCCCCCAGATGGAGCTACCAAGGGGGGGAGAGTGACTGCCCTGCTGTCTTCCAGGGGCCGCACTGCTGCTGCAGGGGCTGTGTGTCAACACTGTGGTGCGGTTTCTGGATCTAAAGGTGGGTGGATTTGTGCTCAGGGGCGTGCCACCTGAGAAGAGGGTAGAGGAGATACAGGTGTCCTGGCAGCCAGGGGTCCAGATGGCAGCAGAGACCCCTTCTGTAAGCACTTGGCACACAGGCCCTGCACCGTTTTCTCATGGTCTCTTGCTTGGGGGCCAGTGTCTGGAGGGTGGGAATGTGAGTTCCAGAGCGTCCACACCAGGAGCCCTCCTGTGGTCAGGGGAAGCAGAACCTGACAGGGGCCACATCTTCTGTCTAGAGCTCTCGTGGCCTTGCCCACTGCCTGACCATGGACGTCAGAGCCCAGCCCGGGGTGGTGGGGAGTGACTGGCTGGCCTCTTCCTTTCCTAGGGCAATAACCTTCGAGCCACAGGGACCGAGGCACTGGGAAAACTCCTCCGACAGAACAGGTCCATTCAGAGGTAGCGTGGGGGTCCCTGCCCTCGCTGCCCTCAACCACGGTTCTAGGTTGGCTCCAGAGAACGTGGTTCTGCAACATGAGAGAGCTCTCTCCTTCACTCCAGTCTTTTGTCTTTCCCACTTATGGGTGGGGAGTAGGTGGGAGCAGGCGGCTCCAGCCTGAAAGTGCCAGAGACCCCCAAGCTAGCACCCCTCCTCACCCCCTCGGAGCCTGTGGGAGCAGGATGCCCTCCAGTGCCATGACCTCACACCCCTGCTTCCCGCAGCCTCACCCTGGAGTGGAACAGCCTGGGCACCTGGGAAGAAGCCTTCGCCACCTTCTGTGGGGCCCTGGCGGCCAACAGCGCCCTGCGGCAGCTGGACCTCCGCAACAACCAGATCAGCCACAAGGGCGCCGAGGAGCTGGCCCTGGCCCTGAAGAGCAACGCCAGCCTTCAGCAGCTGGGTGAGGCCACCCGGTACTGCCCTCCCAGGTCCTCAGGCCCAGCCAGGCCGTCTGGGTCTTGGGGTGGGGGTGGGGGTTGCATCTCCTGCTCCTCGATCTGTGGCTGATCACAGGCAGCCCCGGCCCCACAAAGGAAACGGCTTAGCTGGCCTGGCCCTCCCACCCCCGCCAGGTGCTCTCTGTCCGGTGACAACAGGTTTCCTTTCAGACCTGCGCTGGAATCACATCGGCCTCCTTGGTGGCCGCGCCCTGGTGAACTGTCTCCCCAGCAACAGAACCCTGTGGAGGCTGGAGCTGGCTGGGAACAGCATCCCCGGGGATGTCCTCAGAGCTGTGGGTATGGGCGTGCGGGCTGCTGGCAGCTTCCAGCACTTGGAGCAGGTCATGAGCGTGAAGCTGATCCCCTCTGACAGAGGCCTAGCCACCCAGGGTGGGCGGCTCAGCCAGAGCGCGTGAGCGCATCAGGACTGTAGCCCGTTAAAACCAGAGCGAGCGCTGACTGCCCGGCGCTGCTCCCGTCCTGACACCGACAACTCACTCCCATGGCTCCTTGTCCTGCCAGCAGCGCCGGCCACCTGAGGGCCCAAGCTTGGGCTGGAATCTAGTGTGGGGTCACCCTGCTGCTGGGTCTGCCCAACACGTGGCCTCGCCCACTTGGTCCTTGGCCCTGCCTCCAGCTGTTGTCATTGCTTCTGGTCCCATGGCTGCTTCTGGCTGGCTCCTGTCCTGGATCTCTCTAGAACCCAAAACCTGAGCTCAGCAGTAACCTCTTGAAAGTCAGGCAGTGTGTCTTTGATATTTGGGGCAGAGCCCAAGTGCCCACCTCTTGTGGAAGTGGAGCAGCCTCCTCCACCGCTTCCTGTGCATCCCCCTGCCATGTGCCTCCCAAGCTCCTGGCCTCACCGTCACCCCCACCTCTGCTGAGCCCCTCATCTGCTAGTGCCCTGAGGGGTCTGTCTGACTTGTGGGGTGAGACACTGCCTTGCACGGGGCCTTCTGGGCATGGGGTTCGGCCGGCCGTCAGCCACTCCCAAGGCTCAGCACCCCTGGTAGATGACTTGGCTTTTTCCAACAGAGCAGGCCATGGACCACAACCAGGACCGGCAGACCGCCTTCCGGGAGAACCAGGCCCGCACCCACGTGCTCAGCAAGGAGGTGCAGCACCTGCGGGAAGAGAAATCCAAGCAGGTGAGAGTGGCACCATCTCTGACCGCAGACGCCTACCCGGCCGCAACCCCAGCCCTGCCCTGTGGATGAAGGGCCCCCCCTTGGCCCAGTGCCAGGGCCATCACACTCCTTTGGCCCTGGAACCTCTCCAAACAGCCCACCCAGGCCCAGGAGGCAGCCTCTTGTTTGGTGCCCTCTGGCTGGGTGGGTGGGTTCCCCTTCATGGGACCCATCCTCCGTTTGGATGGGGCTGAGCCGCTTGGTGTCCTGCTGCCTCAGTGCATGTTGGCCACCTTCCCGCCCGCATGGGCAGCGGGCAGGCTCTGGACCCCGACGGGGTTCTGTCCGGTTCTGTCCCCAGTTTCTGGACTTGATGGAGACAATTGACAGGCAGAGAGAAGAGATGGCCCGGAGCAGTAGGTGAGCATGGCCCCAGAACTAGGGGCAGAGGGGCGGGGCGGTGGAGGTGCCCGGGGTTCGAGTCCGGCTCTAGCCTCCGAGTGACCTCACCTGTGGTCGTGGGGTGTATTCCCTGAGCCAGTGGGCTGGAGGGTCAGAGGCAGCACCGAGCACATTCTCAGCCCACTGTGTGAGCATGACGACCAGCGGCTGCTACAGGGCCAACCCCGGAGAGGCTCTGGGGCTTGGGCTTCGTGGACCTTCCTCTTGGCCCGCAGGGCATCAGCAGTGCGTGTAGGGCAGCTTCAGGAAGCCCTGGATGAGAGGCACTCCGTCATCAAAGCCCTCAAGGCCAAGTAAGGAGGAACAGAGCACAGGACTGGGGTCGGGGGTGCTTTGGAACACTTTAGAGACCTGCCCACAGGGCAGAGGAGGACCGTCCAGGCAAGGACTCAAGACCCCAGTGTACAAAGTAGAAGTGGGAAGCGGCTGGGGTGCTGACTTGGGAAGGCTTTTTGGAGGAGCCGAGTGTTAGCTGGGTAGAGACCTGGCACGAGTTAGAACAGCAAGGCCTTAGCAAGGCTGGAGGCGGGGCCGGGGCGGAGCTCACAGCCTGCTGGCAAGGCTGGCTCTTCCTCCTTGCAGGCTGCAGATGGCAGAGGCTGCCCTGGCTCTGTCGGAGCAGAAGGCCCGGGACCTGGGGGAGCTCCTGGCCGCTGCAGAACAGGAACGTCGGAGCCAGGCACAGAGACAGGCGAAGGAGCACAGGCTGGAGCAGCAGGCGGGCAGGGAGGGCTGGGCGGCAGGCGGGCGTGGGGCAGGCAGATGGGGCGTGGTGGCGGGTGGCCAGTGACGCCCTTTCCCTGTCTCACCCCCAGGAAGCTGCAGAGCGGGAGTCAAAGCTCTTCAGAGACTTGTCTGCTGCCAATGAAAAGAACCTGCTTCTGCGAAACCAGGTCTGGGGGCGTGGGGCCAGGCGCCTGGAGAGCCCGGGGTGGGGCTTCGCGACAGGGACCCAAGCTTCCCTCCCTGGACACTGGCTCAGGTGGACGAGCTGGAGCGGAAGGCGAAGACTCAGCAGGAGCAGCTGTTCCTGGCCCGGCAGGAGCTGAGCAACACGGCTGCTGAGCTGAAGCTGCGGGCAGTCCAGGCCGAAGGTAGGCACACCAGGCCAGCTGCTGGGGCCTGGGGACGGGGACCCTGGGAGCCAGGGGGCCACCAGAGGAGCCCTGCCCACGCGATCCCCCGTGCTTCCAGAGCGCCTGGAGCTCGAGAAGAAGAGGTCCCGGCAGAGCCTGGAGGACTCGGAGCACTTGCGCTTCACGGAGGTTCCTCATTGGTCACGTTCTCTGGCCTTTGCCCCTCACGTCCCCACCAGGGCCTGTGGACACCTCGGTCTGACACAGTGTCAAGGCACACTCCCAGTGCGCTCCCCCAGGAGCCCGTGGGGCTCTGGTGGCAGTTTTCCACCAGTCCTGGCAGGTGTCAGACCCAGAACCTCCTGACCAGTTTCTAGAAGGGACCCTGACCGTGCTGTCACCCCAGTGCAAGCTGCCATGTGCTCCGTGCCATCGGGGGTGGGGGGTGGACAGCGCTGGGATGGACCCTCCATCCTTGCTATCTGCAAGGACGCTTGGGGCAGCCCTTGCTTGGAAAGGTCAGATGAGGACACACGTCCCATCAGCACCACGTCCACCCCACCACAAGCCCCCACCTGGAAGGGTCCCCATGATTCACTTGCCTCCTGGGGTGGGGATCCAAAGAGCCGAAGGTGGGGGAGCCAGCCTGCCGGCCCCATCCCTGCGCCCCGCAGGTGGAACACATGACTCGGCACCTGGAGGAGAGTGAGAGGGCCATGCAGGAGAGGGTGCAGAGGCTGGAAGCCGCGCGGCTGTCCCTGGAGGAGGTGAGCTGGGCGCTGGAGCTCTGCCCTCCCCTGGGGAGGCCGGATGTGGCCGGGACGGGTTCCTGGGCCGCAGGAAGGACCCAGGGGTTGCTGTCTGTGGTGCAGGAGCTGAGCCGGGCTAAGGCAGCAGCGCTCAGTGAGCGGAGCCAAGCCGAGGAGGAGCTTGTCAAGGCCAAGAACCAAGTCCGTCTGGAGGAGGTGAGCCCAAGGCCGCTGCCTACTGCTGGCAGCGCCCACCATAGGGAGAGGTCTGAGGGGCTGCCAGGGGCTCTCTGGATTGTACGGCACCGCAGGCTTCAGGGGGCCAGATCAGGGCTGTCCCCTATCTCTGTAGGGAGGGAGTCGAGAATGGAAGCTCCAGGGGTGCAGGAGTGGGGAAGAGTCAGACCACATCTACCCCCCACAAATAGCCATCATCTTCCAGGCCCGTGGGGAAGGGGTTTGGCCCAAACGTGCAGCCCGTGATGGCATGGTGGAAGTGGGAGACCAGAGGGCAGGATGGCATCAGCCTGGGGCCTGGAGGAGGAGCCCGGGGAGAGTGGTCCCCAGAGGCTCCCCGTTCAAGCTGAGCCCATTCAGAGCAGTATTCGCAACAACTTTAGCGACAGTGCGGTTTCCACACAGCAAATAAAAGCTCCTCTCAGCCTGAAGCGGGGAGTAGGGGGTCACTGCCCACGTGAACTCAGGGCCACGGGCCAAAAAGCAATTCACCAGCCCCTCCCCCATGCCTGCAGCAGCAGCGCCTGGCTCACCTGGAGGAGAAGCTGCGGCTGCTGGCGCAGGCGCGGGATGAGGCTCAGAGCGCCTGCCTGCAGCAGAAGCAGACGGTGGCCGATGCCCAGGCGAGGGCCAGCCAGCTGGGCCTGCAGGTGGAGGGCCTGCAGCGGCGCCTGGAGGAGCTGCAGCAGGTAGCTGGGACTTTGAGGGCTACCGGGGGTGCCCCTGCCCCAGCCTCCATCTCACCCCCCACCCACCCACACGCTTGGCAGGAACTGAGCAACAAGGACCAAGAAAAGGTCGCCGAAGTGACCAGGGTGCGGGTGGAGCTGCAGGAGCAGAAAGGCCGCCTGAAGGCTGAGCTGACGGCCCAGGAGGCGCTTAAGGAGAAGGTGGCAGCCCTGGAGCGCCAGCTGAAAGGTGAGCTGGGCCTGGAGACCCCCACAGAGAGTCTGCAGGACCTCCCTCACTGGGTCATCCCACAGGGGGCTGGCCTGGCCTGCCGAGCCTGGCTGAGGCCTCAGCTCCCGGAGGTCCTGGCACAAGAGGCAAGTGTGAGCAAGCCTGGTCCCCCAGCCCCCAGTGGGCTTCTGGAATGGCAGGCGCCCAGACAGCGCCCAGCGCCCCTTCCTCACCAAGCTTCCTCCCTGCAGTGATCGCGAGTGACCACCGGGAGGCACTGCTGGACAGGGAGAGTGAGAACGCCTCCCTCCGCGAGAAGCTTCGACTCAAGGAAGCAGAGATCGCCCGGATCCGGGATGAGGAGGCCCAGAGGGCCAGCTTTCTGCAAAATGCTGTACTGGCTTATGTGCAAGGGTCCCCCCTGAGGACCCTGAGCCCCCAGAAATGAGGGGAGGCAGGAAAACTCCGAGCAGCAGGAAGGTGGCATCTGTTGGACGTCTGGGTCATACCGCTGCCCATCCCTTCCTCTCAAGGGACAGGCCATCCATCAGGCACGCCCGGGCTGTTTGGGCAGAGTCTACAGCTGGTGACTCGGAAAATCAGTGGCGGGGTGGATCTGAGAGCAGCCCCGCTGCGGGGGCCCAGAGGGCTGGCCAAGGGGGTTGGGGGTTGGAGTGGGCCCTGGCTCCTCCCCACTCCTTCGGTCCAGTCCCAGGGAGGAGGAGATGTGCCTGAGAGCACAGACCCTCATGGAAGACGGGGGGAGCGGCCCTGAGCCCTACATGCCCCTCCGCCTCTGTTCAGTCACCTTCTAACAGCAACCCTGAGCTCAGCGGCCCCAGCGCGCCCTCTCTCCGGTAGTTCTGAAATACAGGCTTTTGTACTTTGTGATACATTTTGGTCCCAGAGCCTTTCTCCCACATCAGCCAGTACTCCCAAGGCTGGACCCTGCAGAAAATACCCTCTAGGTGTGGCTGGGTCACTCCCCACAACTGCTGCCAGATGGAGGTGGTGGTCTGGCTACTGCAGCAGACGGGAGGGGAGGGTGACAGCTGGGCCCGGGGTTGCCCGCCTTGGGGGCCTGTGGTGACTGCAAACACCAGTTGTCTCCAGCTGTCTCCTGGTTGAAGGGTGGGTGGACCCTGGGAGTGCTCTCCCTGCAAGAAACCCTGTGCGCATGGACCACCCAAACCTGTCCAGGTGGGTGGGAGCCGCCTGCCTGCGCGGTGCCTTAGTGTGGGTCACAGGAGCTCGGGGACCGGATCGGGGGGGATGCGTCATATCCCCGCCCCCCACCAGATTTCTCTGGAAGGCGCGTTGGTCTGGGTTCGGGGCGGGTCCGCGCCCCCCGCCCGCCCGACCGGCCGCGCTCGGCTGTCTCCGCGCCCGGCGCTCGGCGGCGCTCGGCTGTCT